TCCCTTATGCACAACAGAATATAATCTTCTGAGGGGAAGGAACTATTTGTATTGATCTCAATAACTTTAGCCCAAAGCCTGGCAATACAGTAAGCAATTAATAAATATTTACTGAATTGAACTGAACTAAAAGCTATATTCTCCATCGAGTGAGCTAAGCTCTCCAATGCCCTAACCTTCAAAGAGGCAATTCCAAATAGGAAAAAGTTTCAATAAATTATCAAGAACAAGATTTCTATACAAGATACCCCTAAAAGAGAAGTAGCTATGAAAGGTTTTCTTCTCACAGAGAATCTGGAAGATGATCTGTTGTCCCACATTTTTAAAAAAAAAGTAATTTAGTTCTTCTAGTTTAGTGGATTGACAAAAATAACCTAACAGCTAATAATAATAATAGAAATTACTTATTATTAAATTACCTATCCTGGTGATAGGTAGGACTCTTCTGAAAAACAAGAGACAGGCTGTGCAAAACTCAAAAGGGAGATGGAATGCTGTACAAGAGGAACAGGAAGGTGGCAGGTCTGGCTAGATCACAAAGTGCATTGGATTTGAACTATGAGAAACATTATAATAAACCTGAAAAGGGAAGTTGATGTTCAAGCTTTCTGACTTATGTTCTTCTGGTAGACTGGCAATCATCAAGATGTCTCTATAAATTGTGTCTTTGAGATCAGTATGTTTTGCTTACATGAAGAATATGCTTTTCTTTAATATTACTGTTTTTAGCTTCTATTCTTCCAGATTGTCCTTTACTTCTGTGTATTTCCATTCTCATCAGTTCTCTCTTTTGTATCTTTGGTGAAACTTGCCAGCATGAATTTTTTCTATTCATGAAGTTTTTCTATCCTGCCAATCATTTATTCTATGCAGGACACAAATTTTGTTTTCACAGTTCTTATTTTTCTTTTAAACCATTCAGGAACATCTTGCTATGGTCCCATGCTATCTTTGGAATCCATATTGTCTTCTGCCTCATCAGGTGTTGATTCATTATCCTTTATCTTGCAGTATTCAGCTAGGTGGCACAGTGAATAGGGGCATTGGATCTGGAATCAGTAAGACCTAAGTTCAAATCCAGCCTTAGACACTTAGCTTGTAACCCTTGACAAGTCACTTAATCTCTTGTTTGTCTCAGTTTCCTTATCCAGAAAATGGGAATAATAATATCTACCTACCACGGTTATTAGGAAGATCAAATGAGAGAGAATTATAAAGAACTTATCACATTGTCTGGCCCGTAGTAAGTGTAACATAAATGTTAGCTATTATTAATAAGAATAATAATTATTATTACTATTATGCATTCATTCATTCATAGACATATATATGTATATTTACTGCATATATATGTGTATATTTATGGCATATATATGCATGCACGTATATGTATGTGTGTATACCTATACACATCTACATGTGCGTGCACCTGTGTGTACATATTTCTAAGTGTATAAATACATTTATATAGATATGTACATTTTACAGATAAGTATATGGTAATATGTGGTATCTATGTATCTAAATATGTGCATATGGGTAGCATCCATACATATGGTTATATACACATGTGTGTACATGTGTGTATGTATACATATACACATACATACCTATATATCTATATCTATACACACACACACACACACACACACACACACACACAGATGCCTCATTCCGTACACTTATTCTTTAACCTAACTTTCAGAAGGTGAGCAGCACGTTTCATCATTAGTCCTTGGGAATTGTGATTGGTGATTACACTGATCAGAGTTCCTGTCTTTCAGAGTTATTTGTTTTACAATATTGCTGTTAGTGTATAAATTGTTCTGTTGGTTCATAGGTTCTTCTTAGATTTCTCTGAAACTATCCATTTCATCATTTCTTATGGCACACTAGTATTCCATCATATTTATATACCATAACTTGTTCAGCCTTTCCCCAGCTGATGCACATCCCCTCGGATTCCAATTATGTGTCACCTCAAAAAGAGCTATAAATATTTTAGTACAGTACAATAAGTTTCTTAGAGTTTGTTTTTCCTGGGACTAATTCCTCCCTTAATCTACCATCTCTCTAATTCCCTTCTCTTTCCCTACTGAATTAAATATATTTCTTTACTCAACTGTATATGTATATTCTTCCCTCCTCTAGCTAGTTTAGATGAAGGTGAGGTTCAAGTGTCAACTACAATCCTCATTTCTTCCACTTTTTTTTGTATACCCAGATTATGTGAAATAATTTTCCCTAACCACATTTTCCTTTCCACCCTCCCCCTGTGTATTACTCTTCCCCTTTTAAGATCATAAAGATATAACAGAACGATGGCTAGATTTTCTGTCTAATAGACTCTGAAGTATTTTCTTACATGGTTCAATGGCACAGGACTGAGAAGGTACAGCCTCTACTGTAGGTAAGGAAACCTCCAACCTGAGGTCATCTAGAGCTAGCGATGGAAAAATAAATGCTGACACATCTAACTACCTGGGTGATCAGAGATTAAAATCAGGATAATAGCATTTTTAGTGAAATTGTTTATTGTCTTGACATAATTGACTCTATTTCATATTAGATCATCATTTTGTGATAACGTGTTTCGATATTTATTTTTCACAACTTGTTTTTCCAATATTAAAATAAGCATATGTCTGGTTTATATTTGTTAACAACATAAGTGTGTTTGTGTAAAACTGGTAAAAACAATATATGAAAATATAATATACAAATATATAAGTTAACTATTAACATTTAACATTTACATGAGTAATGTATAAAACTGGAACCCCCACATGGGAAAACTTAGTAAACAATCTTATCATTAGTTATCAGGCATAAATCAAATTAATTGGCAATCAAATTAGGTCCCTGAACAACAATGAGAATTTGGATGCAACCAGCTAACACCCATAGCAAGAACTATAACAAACCTATCATGGACTCCCAGCCTTCAGCTCGACCTTGAGTTATAACCAAGGTCGCTTCTTCATTCCCCATTCCTTATTTGAGAAGACTCAAGTATTTGCATAAGGGCAGTAGTAATCGACTAAATGAGATGAAGGAAAACACATGGCCTGTGGCTGTGCAAAGAGGAACCTTTGTCACTAAGTACCAGTAGGAGATGTGCATACTAGGAAGCCCTAAGAACCACCAGATTGGTGGTTCATTCTTAGTGGAGTCAAAGTTTATACTGTTTAATAGAAAATAGAAGCTGATGTTTGCAAGCATATGATTAATAAAGTCTGATTGCTAGCATTGAGAAGTACAAGTCTAATTAATGTTTCTATTTCATTAGTTGACACATACTACAATAAATTGGTTTTGGCACCATGTTACATTACCACACAATTAGAATTGGAAGGGACCTTAAAGGTTATTATGGGCTAGATCTGACACATCTAAGTACCCCTGGTAATTCAGGTTTGATATTAGAATGAAATAAGATAAAATAAATATGACAGTTCATAAAATTCAACAGTTGACAAAAGGAATTTACTTGGTCAAAGCAAGGGAAAGATATTGAACAAGGATATGCATCAAGGATACAAACTGATTCAGCTGAGTGAAGTTCTCCTGCTTCTAAGTGGATCTGCCAGCCAAACCTCAGATACAGGTTTATAGAGATTTTTACTCAGGTGACCCAGAAGTGATTTTAATCATTCCAGCCACTGGTCACCTAAGCCATGTCTTGAGGATAGTTTCAATACCTTTTAAGGAAAAAGTAACCTAATTTGTATGGCATCAGAAGGGTTAGAATCTTGCTCCCATCACAGAAGTTATCTAGTCCAACTCTCACATTTTATAGATAAGCCAGATAAGGCCAAAGATGTTAAGCAGCTTTCCTAAGGGGAGAAAGAACTTGCAGAGCCAAGATAAAAACAGGGCATATCAGGTCCAATCATCACACATTACAATAGGTTCCAGAGCAATGAGCTTGCCAAACCTGGTCCCTAAGAGAGGCATCCACCTTCACTATCTGAGTACCAGAAGGAGTATTCCTACTTGTGGCACTTATTCAAGCAAGTGTCCATGATCCACTGTCATTATGTACAAAGGAAACAAGTACTGACTCAATCACAGGAAAAAACGAACAGCATCCTTAGTTCTGGCCAAAGCAACTCCATAACCAAGTTAAATCTATGAGTCTATTGAGTTAAACATGGAAAAGTTGTATTGCCATTATAATATTCTTGATCAAGAAGGGTCTTAAAATACCAATTTCATAAATATTCAATTTATACAGGGAAAAGTATGGTAATATAATTGGCTTCAAGTTTGGTTCTGCACATTCTAATTCAACTGGAAAGACATAACTCATTTCCCAGTCAATTATTTTAATATAGGACCTAAAAGTGGATAACACATTCCTTACATAACACCAATAAGGAGATTATTGAAGCACAGAACTCATACACCAAATTTTGGCTTAAAATAAATTAAAATGGTAGTACACAGATACACTTCACAAATGGGATTAATTCTGAAAAAAGAAACTATTACTCCAACTACTCTGGGCAATTTTAGAATGATTCAGATATTTTACTTTATACCTTTTAAACTCATAAAAAATTTAATGATGAAGAGAAATATTTCTGGATCCAATTAAGTAAAGCATTTTTGGAATACGTTAACCAGACACCCATTCTTTCCTAAAGAAAGCCACAATTCTAGCTGTGTGACCCTGGGCAAATGACTTAACCCCAATTGCCTCACCAAAAAAAAAAAAAAGAAAAAAGAAAAAAAAGACTTTGGGAAGAAAGTCACGATTAAGAATTAAAGATATATGTGTGTATGTGTGCATGTGTGTATACACACATATAAATATGTATATGTATATGCTGGTGTATATATTTATATATGTGTGTATGTGTCTGTGTGTATATGTATATATGTATGTAATTCCCAACTAGTTTTAGTTTAATTAGAATTCCATTATGGTTCTGAAATAGGATGCAGGGTGCAGAAAAATATACAAACATTTTTCAACACTGGCAAAAGTAGCATACCTGTGCCTTTGTCTGAACCTCCCGGAGGAGTTCAGTATAATGCTGTTCCAAATCCTTCTTTTGTTTCTGCCACGAGCTCTCCTGTGCTTTAATCTGTTCTGCCACTTTATTAAAAGTGTCTTCCTGGGTCTGCTGAAGCTCCCTCAGAGTATCAGACTTGTTTTTACAAATATATTCTAGATGAGTTATCTATATGGTTATATAATAGACACAAGAAATAAGGTCAAATCATTTTTTCCAATTCACAATAAGTGTTTCTTCTCATTTTCATTTTCTTCCTAAATGATATAAAAAAAACTAAACCCGACATAAATTAGCACATTAAGAGAGAAACTGAGATAAGTATATTCTGTGATTATACTTTACCTAAAAATTGAAGCATTTAGTTCAATAATGATATCATATAAAAGTGTTGCTACAAATGTGATCATTCTTTTTTCTTCAAATAAGTTGTTAAATTTAAAATGTATTTCAAAAAAGACATTCAAGAAGTGATATCCAGCAAAAAATTAAGTGAGAAGCTATACAGGCCCCCTTAAAGTGAAAGCAAGAATCTCCTTTTAAGAAAAGCTATCCAAATCTGCATACAATTGAATTTGCATACAATAAAATAAAATGTTTCATGCTGATTTGAGTATACAAATAAGAAACTTTGAGTAAAGGCCCTTTCTTTTCCACATATTCATTCATGTATCAACTAATGAAGTTTATAAATTAAAATAATAACAGAAACTCATTGAAAAATCTATAAAATCATAATAGGCTTAATATCATTATAATAGTTAATCATGTTTAGCATTGTTAAAATTTTCTGAACAAACAGAACATGTTTTTTTACAGATTCAAAATCACAAGTATCCTTTATGCTGTCCCTAACCCTTCCCACTATCATCCTTCCTAGAACATTCTAGTGACCCTACTAATAGGATCAGAGCCAAAATTATCAATAGTAAGGAACTCCTGATGTTGGGCCAAGAAATTGTTTCATGTCTCCAACAGATGAGAAACTTATGGAACCGTTTTTCTCTTCCTATCCCTCAAGAGCAAACGTCAGTACAGCCAAGATCTGGAATCCTTCTCCTAGACCACATGAACACAGTTCTGACCAGCTAGTTCAACAGAGCCAGAAAATGAACCAGCAACATGTCCGCTAAGCCAGTTTAATTTATTATAACCTAAAGAGGGATTCTGAGTGTGTTTCCTTTGGAAAGACTAAAAGTTTAAGCCTTATGAAATAGTAAACTAACCATAAAAGTCTACTGTACTTATCCCTCAAAAAATATTTGCTACATTATGAACCACAGATTTTATAATTAAGTATATTATTATCTTTCAGAAAACATGTTATAAGCATGTAATTATTTTTAAAATAATAATACCTCATTTTTACCAAATAAATTATTTTAAGATATATTTTTTGGGGAACTATAGCTTGCTTCTGTTTTACACAAAGATAAAGTGTTGGTTTATTAGAGTAAATGACTAAGTCCTTTGAATTGCTTCATCAGTAAGATTAATTTATTTTCTTTTAATTAGGTCCCTGTGGCTAATACTGGCTAGTAGTATTAGCATGTCCTGCACAGAAAGTGGAGCTTAGAGACTTCATACAGACTTCAGTCACATTTACATGCCCACAGCAATGGCATCAAACTGAGTTGTAGACAAGCCATAATTAATGGTATTGAATTATTAACATCCAAATTCTTTTTGAAATAAGATGAATGTCAGCCTTTCTTAATAATACTGTGATGTGGACAAATGTCACTGAATTTAATAGAGGTATCTGGTGCCTGAGGACAGTTACCTTCTCATTAGCCCTGTTGAGGTCTAAGATCAGGGCATCAACATTCTCCTGCAAGACTGCACAAAGCTCAGACCAAGAGAATTTATCCAGCATGCCTTCTGGTTGTTTTATAAGCACACAGCCTGCTACCAAGTGCTGATATAAAGTATGAAGGAAGGTTAGCTTCTCCTGTGAGGAAAGCAAAAAAATTAACTTCAGTATATAAACACTATAGGAATCCAAATGTACATACACTTCCAAAGCCTGAACAAGATCATAAGACAGAATTTCAAAATGTGATAGTTTTCATGAAATTATTTTTGCATTTTAAGAAAAGGAAATATAACTTTATAAATTATAATTCATAAATGTTTATAACTGTGACATATTTTTCTTTAAATTTTTTACAAGAAGGTATGTTATTTAAACCAAGGTACAAAATAATTTCAGCATTTTCCACGTATACAATTGCTCTAATTCCCTCTTTTCTTTCTAGCTCTCAGGTTTTACACATTTCTTATAGGCAATCTATCCCAAGCCCCTTAAGTTTATCAACTAGTGAAATGAGGGTTATAAGGTAGATAAATAAGCCCATTGTATTTTTTTCTCAAATATATGCCCTTCTGTTCTAGCATTAGACATATAAGAAGGACATAGCATTTTTTTTCATTATTACAAGGCAACAGCACAACTCATTTCCTGTAAGAAAAAACAATGTGATAGATAATCTGCACAAGATATAATATCAAAAAAATCAAATTGGAAACATCAAATAAAAGTGACATATTAAAATGCATTGGAAAATTGCAAAAAAAAAAACACTATTCACGTAAGAGTAGAATTTAACATGAAGCAAATACATTTATTCTTAGAATTTGACCCAAGGCATGGACTCTGAAAATAAAGTTAGAGTGAAGCTAGAGTATAAAGTTTTTATATATAGAATACGATCTTATAAGATTATCTTTCAACAGACTACCATAAAAAAACAAAAAACCCTTATCATGAGAAATTTATAAAAATTATACTGTATCATAAGGGAAATCAAATCATAGGACTTAAGAAATTTTCCCTCAACTCATTTAAATGATGCACTTTATGCTCATGCTATGCAGCATAGCAAAGTACCTTTTCTAAACAGAATACTTTTTAAAAAAGAAAAGAAAAAAATTGAACATGTCCTTAAAACCAAAACCTAGGTTCAGAAGTCAAGAGAAAGTTTATAAATGTGCTCTGAGTTGTTAATTTGATAGATTAGTATTCTGCATTTTTCAAGTGCTGAAATGGTCAAAGATCTTATTCAAAATAAATCATCTATAACAAGCATTAAAAAAACTTCCCTAAACACATCATCAAATGATCCAAGAACTTTTTCAGTGTTAGCAATTGTGTTACCATTGTATTCTTTTTTGCTTGGGCTATGATAAACCAGGCATGATTATCATCCATTTGGCATGAAAAAGAAATCCCAAAACCCAAAATCAATTCACACATGTTGAACCCAACCACAAATGCTGTAGACATGCTGACTTTACAGTACAGTCAGGCTTCTAGTTTCCTTTACTTTAATCATTATCTGATGTGTAGAACAATTCCAACTGCTTCATGTGGACACAATTTAAATCCCAGACTGTAAAAATGATGGAAAGAATGTTTCTGTTTCACTTAGTTGGCATTATTGTTCATATTTGTTAGAATAATGAGCTCAATATGCAGAACAACTCAGATGAGTTAGTTCTTTGATAGCTAGACTAGTTGTATACAAGTCAAAATAAAATAGAAGACCATTTATTTGGTTAACAAAGAATTCTCCTATGAGATAAACATGTTTTGCTAAAGTATGAATTTATTTAATTCAACAAATCTATTAAACACCTACTATTTGTAAGGCATTGTGCTTCAAGCAATGGTGATATAAACAAGATAGAAACCATACTCTCAGGGAACAGACAATCTAATTTAGGAGAAGGATGAGTATACAAATAACTTTGATTTTAAAAAAAACGATATAATATGGCAGGAAGAGGTCCAAGCAAAAAACCAACAATAATAATAATAGCTATTATTTACATGGTATCTACTGTGTGCCAGGTACTATGCTTAGTGCTTTGCAAATATTTTCTCATTTGATCCTTATAACAACCCTGGGAGGTAGGTGCTATTCTTACTGCCATTTTACAACTGAGGAACCTGAGGCAGACAAGGTTTAAGTGACTTGCCTCAAGTCAGGTTTTCCTGACTCCACAGTTCGCATTCTCTTACACTATGCCACTGATTGGGAATAGGAGTAGGAGGCAGGGTAGGAAGGAAGAAAGAAAGAAACATTCCAGACATAGAATATAAGCAAGCAAAAGTAGGAAAATAATAGCAAATGGAGAACAATCAAGCGTGGCCAGAAACATAAAACATATAAAAAGAAGAAACATGATTTAAGGCTTCAGGTACATTAAAGCATGTAGTTACAGCCCTGAATGGCAGTATCAGTAGTTCATATTTTATTCAGTAGCCAAGAGAAAGTCACTGCTGAAGTTCTTTGAGAAAAGCAGCAACAGGACCACAACAATGCATTAGGAAGATTAGGTAGATAATAGTATGGAGGACAGACTGTAGAAGGGAAATACTCCAGCTAGGAAGACAAGTTAAAAAACTAATGAAACATTTTAACTGAAGAGAAAAGATACTGAAACAGAATAGCAGCAGTGAGAGTAGAGAGGATTAGACAAACAGTGTATGTGAACTATCATGCTATGAGTTAAAATTTGAAAATGAAGCGGGCCTTACTGCTCAGTGTTTCATAGATTTCTGAGATTTAATTATTTTAATAATTAGTACTCTGGAATTATAAAATTCTCAGATTATTAAAATGTAAATCTATAATCAGGAGACAAGGCACCAGAGAGGTACATTTTAGAGCCAATCTACTTGGCATGGTAAACTCCTTCTAAATAGGAACTGTTGTTGCATTTGTGTTTGTATCCTCAGTGCCTGAGCATAGTTCCTTGCAGTGGAGGTGCTTAATAAATGCTTGTTAATTGATGGATAGAATGAAACTCTGAATATCTCATCTTGTAGAATAGTATGATAAAGTAAAGGAGTAATCGATTTTATGGATATAGTGTGCATATTTCAAAATATATAGCATAAATTCATCTTTGGAAACAAATCACAGAAGACCAAAAGTAGCCATTTTGATGTATGTACATTTATAAAACAAGATTAGATGAAGACCTTTTCTGACAGTGCTTTTGTCTCTAGTAATACCTCAATATCCTTATGGAAAGTCTGGGAAAGCTTCTGGATTTCATTTTCAGATTGTGCTACTCGCATTTTCTCTTTCTCCCAACAGTGTAAAACATTTTGGAGTTCTACTTTTAAAGTGCCTATTATAGATTCTCTGTCTGCATACTTAGTTCGCAGGTGATTTAACTCTTGATTGACATTAACCAGTTTATCCTGTGCTTCCTGTCAAAGATACCAAATAAAAAGTGGCTGGTGAGTTTATCTGATAAAGCATTAGAGCAGGTGACTTCTCAATATGCATAGTGAAGTACGTAAATTTTTTTCCCAAGGAGATAGGGAGGAAAAAGCACCTGAGTTAAGCCAGAAAGATAGCTTGAATTGAAATTAACAGAGATCCTGAAGATTCTACTAATAAATGATAGCATGATTCAAAATTACTCTCACCTTATTTGCTTCTTTTCACTCTCAAAGTTTCTAGTATAACTCCTTTTTCTTTCAGAGAACTACTAGTCCAATATCATCAAACATAATTCCTTCAATTATAACACATATGATAAAATATATAACACATATGCTAAATTAGCAATCTGAGGTACAGGTTAAAAAACCTATATGAAAGCTTTTTCTTTACTAAATTCCTAATTACTTTGTTGATATTTATGTTTTGATGGCAATGTTTTACTTGCAAATCTGAAAAACTGAAAATGCTTTAACATTTACACTAAGTAATGCTAAACCTTATTTATAAGACGCCCATCTTCCAATATAGCCTTTAACAATAAGAGAAGTACATTTAAGATTCACTACTAAGTGCTTAAGACAAGAAATTTTAGCTATTTTAACAACCTTCTCATGTACTTCTGATAGTCACATGTTAAAACTTAAAAAAATATTTTGTGTCCATTAACCAATACAATAAAAATTACGCAAAAACTGAGCACTTGGGAGTTTTAAGAGTTTAATTTTGTCTTGGCACAATAAAGTGCCAGCTAAGAAACTTAAATGTTTTAAATGTCAGGATGTCAAATTACAAAGCTGTTTAAATTAGTGATTCTCAGCTCTCCTAACCAGAAAAGACATGAAAAGCAATTTCTCTTTCCCAAAATGATCAAAATGTATTACAAATTAAAGAATTTCATTCTTTTTGTAACAAATAAGAATAACACTACATTTCACATTTTATCCTTCATCTTTTCTGGAATTCATGGCATTATATTTAAATTTAAAAACTAGATTTAATTTGATCTTAAGCATATTTTTACCAGTAACATATAAAAACATAATTCCAAAATAAGGTATATGAAGAATGAGAAAATGCCATTTTTAAATCTTTGGCTGAACAATACAAATTTTGAAATGTGTAAAACTAAGGGTAGTTTATAAAATATTTGAAGGCAAAATTTTCACTATTCAAATGCAAACTTTTTCATAAAGATGAAATTTTAGTTCATCTTAAAATCCAAAAGTATTCAATATAAATATCATTAAATGTGATAGCAAAAGAAAAAGCTGTATTTCCAAAAGGGAAAGATAGCATCCTAAATAATACCTTTAGACTTTTGTTTTGACATTCCATCTCCTGTTTGGTATCATCAAGTTCCCTAAATGTTCTTTCAGAAGTCATTTGCAGGCAGTTTAGCTAATAAAAAAAATAATAATTTTTAAAAATTTTTTACAAACAGCAACATAAAAAGCTAACAATTAAATATTTTCTTTTATAACCAGAGTCTATATAAGAGCACCTATTTTAATTTTTTAAAGTCAATCTCAAAATTATAATTCACTTAGTTTATATTTATTTGTAGATTCTGTCATAAGCTTATATTATGAAAAAAGGAGGGAAGGTACTCAAGCTTAAAATCTTGGTGACATTTTTATAAAATTTTAATAGATGTGTAAATACTTTAATTGCTAAATTTTTCCAGACCAAAAAGACAAAAGCAGTGGCATCAATAAGGAAAAATAAGGATAAAGATGACTTCTCATTCTACACATGCTGAAGGCATTCAGTGGGTCTCTGGCTCCATATGATAGTTTCAGGGTCAGTCACATGCCGCCCTACTGGGAAGGCTTGTGGCAGGTCATCAGTTGGACCTGCACTGCTTGTGATTTATTTTCTTTGACAGTTCATTCTTCTTTCTGTCAGACTGCTCTTTTTGCTTTCTTTGCAACCACCCCCTTGGTCTCCCCACTGCTGTCTCTGGCACTGTTTCACAACAAAGCGCATTACTAAGCCAAAGCCTGCTGAGTCGACTTTTCAACTGCACTGAGGATCATGTGACATTCATCCTCCCAAATAACAATTCGCTGTGGGTAACATGTTCCTGGTTACTTTGCAGCTTCCAGACCTGGGCCTCATAAGAGTTTCATAAACTACTAACAATACTAGTTACCTTATCTTACTGGGAAAGTCCTAGAAATATCTACTGTTTACAGAAATATGATTATTTCACTGGTAACTTTTTTGTGATGCTTGAACAACCACAAAGGGCATAAAAAAGACAATTTATTTTCTTCATTCCCCCTAATAAAGGGGGCTGGGAGAGGGGAAGCCTTCTAAAACTGAAAGTTAATGTTTATATCACCTATCCATAGTGCTTGGCACAATGTTTGGTATGCAGCAGGAACTTAATAAATGTTTGTTGACATGATGACTTGACTCTCAGGCCAATAAAAGCCAAAGCTTGTGAATTCAAATTTAAAACTCAAAATCTATGCTATGTAACTTCTCCTTGTTTGAACAATCTGTTCATTGTTTTGTTAGCTAATTGCATCTAATATAATTATTTTGTATGATCTAATTTAACAAGATGTAGTTAAACAAACTCTTCAATTTTTAAGCAACAAATTCATAAAACATTTTAATACCCAAGAAGATTATCAACTAACACGTTAAAACAATACAAATGAGATGATAAATATAAGCATGAGATTTTTCAGTCAGTAAACAAAAAGCTCCCAGGCTACATCAAACAGATACTTAATTTTTTTTAAACCTAACTACACTTTGCTCCCTTTAGAGAATGGTAACACAGATTTCTCTCCCTTTTTTCCTAAATGATGTGCTAAATAGAAGGGAACAATTCACAATTTTTATCCAATAATGCACTAAAATAGATACTACTTTCTAATTTTCCAGTTGAAGATGTATGATTTTTAAATCCATTATTTTATATGTTTAAATCACTGGTAATCCTTTAAAAAATAAACTAAGGAGAAGGGGATGATAAGAAACAGAAAATAATTAGGAGTTCAGAAGTTTAGTATTATATAAGAAAATTAAATTTGTGACATATCACTTTAGGGTAACCTCAAAGAAAAAACTATGACAGAATATTTTTTTGCTATCACTGAAGCTGTCAATTCAACATTCTCAATCTTTTGACCTTTGTAACAAGTAAGGAATATGTACTACCCAGGCCGAAGGCTATGTGTGTGGAGCCAAACAGTGCAAGTATTACCTCATTAGATGCATCTTCCAGCTTGTTCTGGTAATCTGTCAAGGTACGCCTCAAAGTCTCAAGGACAACAGAGAAGCTGGGAGCTTTATCTTTGTCCTTGTGGACGCCTGGAGAAAAATAGAGGATGAAAATAAAGCCCTTCAAGTCACAGGAAGACAAAAGCTAACCAAACTGTAACAGAGATATTATAATTACATAAGGCTGCAATGACAATATGGAACATGGAATAGTAATGTTATTCTCCAAGGCATTATGCTGTGTAGATATGTTTTCCTATCCCATTAAAACAAATGGTCAAATTAAAGTTTATAAAGTAGCAGGTTTAAGTATGTAAGCTACTCTGATGAAGTCCACATGCTGCTGTTGTTTTTTCCTATTTATCAGTGACTGATAATTTGCTATGCACCTGTTCTTCTGCATATAACTAAATAAACATTCCATATTTAAAGTTTACTTTCTTTTTCTCTTTTTCAGTATACTTTGGTTCTTAGCATTTTTAACCAGTCAAGCCAGTTATAATTTACTGTTCAATCTACTTAATAAATCAATACTGAGCCCAAGTGCACATAATTTTTCTATTATGCTTGGAAATATCCTTCAACCCTTAAATTCTCTTGAGTTACTATCCAAAATAAACAATCAAAATGCTATTATCTACACAGACCTACATCATGTTTCAATTAAAACTCTTTAAAACGGATACACTCACTGTACAAATATGTATATTTCCATTTATTATACCCTCAAACTACATTTTTTAGCCGAGTTGTTTTAATCAGTGTTACATGGCCAAATACAGTTCAAAATATTAATGCAGTATGGTCAATCATTTTTAAATCTTGTAATTTATGGGCTATATCAATATTCTACTTTCCTATGATAAGTCGAAATCTTGTCATTTCTACTTTCATAGCATATGATATAGATGTCCCCTTTGGTCCCACTCACATACCCACCATAACCTCATACAAAGACTCATCACAACTTGTTTAAACAACTGCAATAGCTGTCTAATAAGTCTCTCTGTCTTAACTCTTTTCTCATATCAATCCACACAACTGCTGATCTTCCTAAAGAGTAATTCTGACTGTGCCATCCATTAATCAATAATAAACACCAGTGGCTCCCTATTACCTCTAGGATCAAATATAAAGTCTTTTGTTTGGTATTTAAAGTTCTTCATAACCTGGTCCTTTCCTCTTTCTCCTGCATATTTTACTTTATACAGGTATACTGGTTTATTGACTTTTCCTTGTATGTGACACTCCATCTTCCATCTCCTCGCCTTTTCATTAACTGTGTCTTCCATGGCATGAATGCTCTCCCTCCTCACCTTCACTCAGTTTCCTCGACTTCCTTAAGGACTGTACTTGAATACCACATTTTATAAGAGACCCTTCCCAGTCTCCCACCTACTAAATTCTCCTCTAAGGTCAGCTTCCATCTACTTTTATATATCTTATATGTACTTTCTTTCATGCTGTCTCCTCTCTTACAATGTAAGCCCTTTGAGAAAAGGTGTTTTTGTCTTTTTTTGTATCACTAGTGCTAAGAACAATGCTTCATACAAAATCAGTATTTAATAAAAATGTGTTGGTTGATTAATGTAATCTAAGCATTTCTAGTAACCTTTTTGGGGCTACTCCCTGACTTTAATTATCCCTTGATCCACTCAAGGCAGCAACTATGTCACCTCTCAGGATTCTAAGAATAACCTTGAGTGGTTGAGGTTTTCGAGTACCCTTACTCACAAGGCCCTACAGGAGGGGTCCTCAACTTATTAACAGCCAGACAAAACTAGCTTTTAGGATGGGTATTTGCTAAGCAGGTGTAACAAGGGCAACTGATAAAGAAATAACTACTCAAACTGGAGGGGTACACTTTCTTCTATATACATGAGGTCCCCAGGGAGATTGGGTTCAAACTTAGAGAACTCATATGGTGAAAGGGAAAACTCACATTTCCTGGTTTCTAAGTCAGTGTCAAACTCAAGTAGAATCAGAGTATACATATGACTCCTTCAAAATGGCCTAGTTTTAAAATATTATCTATTTTTGTTATTTTTGTTACAATGTTATCTATTTAAACTGTTATCTATTAATGTTATTTATTTTTATTGCATTTTTATTTATTTTGTTAAATATTTCCCAATTATTTTTTCATATGGTTGGTGGTACTCAAGAGGATTGCCAGCCACATATGTAACACCTCTGTTCCAAGTCTTTTTCTCTCTTCATGGAGTCCCTATGAAGTTCCCCTTAGGTATAGTTCTCTGCTGAGCTCTTAGAGTCAGTGCCCTTGTGGAATACTAAAACTACCTGTCTTCTTGGGTCTAGTTTGTCCTTGGGATGGCTCTCAGCTCCAGATGCAGGCATTGTTATCATCCATTATCGTTTCAGGGACATAGTGACCCGCTTTAGTGGACACTACTGCCAACAGGAATTTCACATCTTTCTGCCCTTCAAAGTTCACAAAGTTGTCACCTGGTCAATCTGGAGTGGGGAAGGAGAAACTCAATTCTTCTTCTTTTCCTCTCCTCTCTCTCCCAATGTTTCACCACTGGATTCAATTATCATCGACTGCTGCTAGTACATTTGATTCTGAACTAGCTGCTATGTTACACATAAGCCCAAAGGTGTCTGATTCTTTCACTTTTATCACAAGACATTTATCTTCATCCAAAAATCACTGTACTTCACTTCTCTTCTACAAAATTGATTAAGGACTCTAGGGTAGGTACTGTTTTTGTTTTTGTCAGTGTGCCTATAGGTACAAGCACAGCACCCTGAATACAACAGGTGCTCAACAAAAGCTTATTGAATTGGAAACTCTTTAACTCATCTGTAAATCATAGTTTTAGGGATTCAAGTAGAGCATGGGGAGGTTAAATGACCAACTGGTGGTCACAAAACTAGTTATATGTCAAAGGCAAACCCAAATCCAGATTTTCCTGACTCCTTTTATCTGACCCTCTATCTACTATGTCATGCTACAACAGCAAAAATATTATCAGTGAGAAATCTGTGGCACTCAAAAGATAAAGAAGTCAAACGTAAAAATGGCTAGTGAGTGTTTTTAAGCAATTACTGGGGGAAGGTGAAAGGAAAAATAGATTTTCTGTAAACTTTATCTATACATATATATAAATACATATTTCCACATACATATATATGTACCTATAAACGTGTGTGTGTGTGTGTATGCACAAACTACAAAACAGCCAATAATTGGTTATCTTCAAGAAAGGCCTAGATGGCCACTTGCTGAGGATACTATGGGAGAGATTCTCGACTCTTCCAATTCTGAGTATCTGTGATGACTTATTCTGGCTCCTGAAAGATAATAAGATATAATGGAAATAGCAGTGATCTTTGAGTAGGGATAACTAGGTTTGAATCTACTCCTGATACACACATACTGGTCATCATGGCCACCAACCAATATACTTGGCCTCTCTGAAATTCAGTTTCACCATCCACAAAATGGGGATAATAATACCAAATCTACATACCTAACAGGATTATTGCAATGAATAATATAATTTTATAAATTTTATAAATAGAACTGAAACAAATAAGACAACTTTATTACTCTGAGATGATATATATATATTATATATATATATATATATATGACATAAGGTTATGGGGAGTAGGGGAGAGAAGTGGAAAGGCCAGTTCCATGTTAATAAACATGGATTCCAATGTCATAATATTATAAACGGAATGAGTCAAAAATGTTAGAGCTGGATTTAATGTTTTATGCTGGAGTTTAGTCATAATGAATTTTATGCTGGAGTTCAGTCATAATGAATTAATGATATTATTGCTGAGCAACTTTTGCCAAGGTATTCTTTAGGTGGGCTATGCCTGCATTAATTCAATATATAAAGAAACTGTATGAGGATGTTAACAGAAAACCTTAAAAAATGTAAAAGCAGAACTTTTTAAACATGTTGAACTTAACTGCCTCTATTTTTCCCATTTAGCTTGAAGCATACAATATTTAATCTTTTTTAAAGACTGGACCAGTGATTTCATTAAGTTAGAGAACTCTTAAGGGGGAGAATTACTCTAATAATGCAAATCAGTATTATAACCTGTTCTACAACTTACAGACCTAAGAGAGACAACATGATGTCTCTCTAAGAAAGCTGGCCTCAGTGCCAGAAAAATCTGGAGTTAAGGGGCAGCTAGGTGGCTCAGTGGATAGAGCACCGGCCCTGAAATCAGGAGGACCTGAGTTCAAATCTGACCTCAAACCAAACACTTGACAGTTACTAGCTGTGTGACCCTGGGCAAGTCACTTAACCCCAAATGCCTAAAAAAAAAAAATCTGGAGTTAAGTCCTGCTTCTGACACATAGAAGTGTATGATGCTGGTTAACTCTATTCACTAATTAATATATATATATATATATATATATGTGTATATATATGTATATATATATATATGTATGTATATATATACATATATATGTATATAATTGGAAGGACAACTAGCAAATAAATAATGGGATAACACATAGTATGTTACACGTGGTCAACTTCCCTTCAAAACTTATACCAAAGGGTAGCCTAGGAAGCATATTAAGTGGCTATCAGGAGGAAAAAATTTATTGTCATATCCTTTATTGTGAGGAGAAACCTTGCTCAAATCTTATTAGAATGTTTGGAATTACCTGCTGATACACATCTCAATGAACCTACATACCATATCTGGAAACTGCCTGTGTGTTGGCCAATAAGCTGTAATGTCCTTGTGACCTTATTTGAACTCTATATAATGAAAAACTTCTGAGGGCTGGGGGAGTGGGCGACACCTTTTTCAGTCCACCCCTATTCCAAACAATTTAATATACTTCATTCTGGAAACACAATTGGGTTTGTTCTCAACTAACACTATTTATATGTCATAATTTACTGATCACTGTATAAAATAATCCACCCCCCCCAATTAGCAGCAAAGTACCTAAAATTCTACAATTAAAAGGAATTCAATCCATTGAAACACTGCTTTCTTCTGGTTTCTTTATTTAAACTTCAAATAGCACAGAAAGAGCACCACATTAAGTTAATACTAACAACTTAATTTTTAAGTATAGATGG